CAGTCGGCTGTTTCCGTTTTTATGTTGCCTTCCAGTCCGGGTCTGTCTTCAATATAAGATTGTCTTTTATCTCATTGTGACTTCTTACCTGGTTAGAGAAGGGTTAATAAAATAAAATTAAAAAGGTACTGCTGCAGCACCTTTATTGGTTTTATTATGACAAAAATGTTCAGCTAATAAATGAGTCTAGTGGAGGATTATTTTAATTACACAGTGAGCTTTAGACATTTTAGATTAATTTGATTCTTTTCTTCATGAATCAATTAATTATTTGGTCTTCAATCCAAAGATATTCAGTTTACCATCATAGAATAGTAAGGACACCAGAAAGAAGAGATGAATTCCTTCTCACAATAAATGACTCAAAATGATTTATCAGTGATCAAAAAAGTTGTTTGGTAAGTGTGGTTGTTGACGCTCTGCTCCCGTTGTCTCTGCAGGCGAATGAGGCGACTGGCGAACACAGCGCCTGCATGGTAGAAGCAGCAGCACCAGCGCCCCCTACAGGAACGGTGCCCGTCTTGATTGAGGTATGACGCTGACACGGTTCGCAACATCAGCAACAACGATGTCCCTCCATCGCGTGCTGGATGTCTTTTTCTGCTCGACCGGGTTCTCAGTCAGTTCCCCGTTCACCATTTCATTTTTTTTAATTTTTATTATTAATGTTAATATTTCGTTCTGTTTGGAGAAGCTCCCCCTGTTAGAAAATCCTTCGTGTTTGCCTCCTGACCCTTCGGCGTGGAGAAGCTGCTCTCTCACTTTGACCACTGACTCTTTACCCGACCACAGAGGGAGAAAAAAACCACACAGCCAGTCTCAGATAATATATTGTTATGTTGTATTTGTTGTCTTTTTGTACATTTTAATAATTCTTACAAAATAAAAAAAAAGTGAAAGAGCTTGTCACGTTATTTTGTGCATCGTTTAAAAGGTATGTCTGACATAAAACATTAAGTTTATTAATATTAAGTACTTGTATGGGTGGTGCAGTGGTGCAGGGGGTGCTCTGGTTTTCTATTTTTTATTTTTATCTTGTTGATCTGTGAGAGTGCAGTTCTGAAATTTTAATGATAGCTTTCATAATTATCAGCGTCTTAAGCTGTAGCATGTGATATATGTGTAAAACTACAGTTGGCAACCAGTAAAAATAACTTCATGTCATATTTGTCACTAATAACTGTCACTGTATCTGAAAGAAGCAGATGACAAATAATCTGGGGAAAAAATCATGTCGTTCCTCCCTTCCTGCTGCCACAGTCGCTAAACCTGTCTACAGGTCCTTAAAGTCTTAAATTGTCTTGAATTTAATGTTACAACAATAAGGCCTTAAAAATCATTAAATAGTCTTAAATTTGAGTTTGTGAGGTCTTAACTACCACAAACATTGTATCTTATTTCATTTATCCAGTCTTGAATTTCTTTTAGTGAAAACTGTGAAGCCTTTCTAATGTTACAAATCTTTAAAAAACTATCATACTTGCACTGACCTGTTGGCAAAATGTAGATTGACTTAACTCTAATAACCATATTCCCACTTAACACTTCCCTCTGCATAAGACCACATATTTACTACTTACCTGCAGTGCTTACCTGTGATACTTAAAGGAAATGACCACTTTAGAATGAAAATACCGACATGGAAACTCGCGAGACTCGAGAACAAGAACGTCTCTGAACGTTCTCGAGTCTTGCGAGTTGCCATGTAAACATAGCACACCTGCAGGGCAGGCTAACTGACCATGGTGAGAAATGATGCTATAAAAGTGCAGTAAATTACGTCTTTTCAAGTCAATTTTGCATGCCACGGCTTCAGGGCACTTGGATTACAACGGTCGAGGCGTTCTGACGTTTTTTAAAAGCATTAGCGGAGTTTTATTACATTTTCAAAATGTGTGTTCCGTGCACTTCAAGTGTAGCTGTTATTCCGGCTAGCTGTTATCCTCCGATACCCCGAGCAAGTTTTGTGGATTAAAAAACTACACTGGACTTCTTGTCGGCATGAGGGTCAGTAAGTACTGTCTGTGTTTTCATTCTAAAGTGGCCATTTCCTTTAAGTAAGTTAAACATGATTTGTCCAAAAATCTGTCCTAAATTTGGTTAAAAGGTCTCTTGCACTGGTCTTAAAAAAACATTAAAGTGTCTGATTCATGTAGACACACTGATTAGACCAGCGCGGTCAGCATCAACCAGTCAGACCAGAGTCTGTAATGCAGCTGTCAATCGGATCAATCGCTCAGTGAACTGCGGTCAAAATGTCAAACTAGGCAGCACTGATCAAATATGAATCAGGATTTTTGAATTGCGTTGTCTATCTCTTGCCTAAGAAGTTTTCAGAAAAATGTTTTAGTGTACAGTGCACACAGGTTAGTTTATACATCTGGCCCCTGGACTCTCATAAACATCAGTAGCCTCATAAAAAAACAACCTTTTATTTTCTTGTGATAAAAAAACCCAAAATAATTTACTAGTGTTCTCAAGATAACGGCATTAAAAAAAATTTGCAAGCATGGCCACTCTCTGCTTCCGTGCATCACAAATAAAATGTTTTAGTTTAATTTGTAGAGAATCTTTGCAGTTTAGATCACATTGATCAGCAAAACTGCAATTAGATATTTGCCTTCAATCTTTGACCCCTACTTTAATTTATATGTGAATGAGTCATATAATGAGGATAATGAGCCGGGGACCCTAACAGACGACTGCACATGGGGGGGAATTGTAACATGTTTCAGAAGATCATGAGATACATTAAAAGGTAGTAAGTGGATCTTTGGGTTGAGATCAATCTGTCACATATGACGATTAAGATAATGAGTGCACTTCCATGGTCAAAATGAATCATATCAAAGACCGTAAGTTAATTTATAAGAGCCAAATTTGTGTTTATGCCTCAATATTCTTGACAAAATCCCAAACCAGACTGATTCACTTGACCTCTGTTTACAAAGTTTTCCACTCAGAATCTGTGAGCACAAACAAACATCCTACAAAGCACATTCAACACTGAATGAAAGAAGCAAAAACAGCTGGACACATCTTCAAACTCTAATTTCTGACCACAGTTTGGTTCCTCTAGTGTCGACACGACCAGATGTATAAATGTGGTATTTGAATGTTGCTGAGGAAGAACTGAGCAGGAGCAGGACTAAACATTTTAACTCCCGTCCTCTGCTGTTGTGTCACCGCTGCTGGTTCACAGAACTGCCGACGGCCTGAAATCCCATCAGCCCCGTCTGCACACTCTGCACTTTCACCCGCTGCCTTTGTGGGTCAAACACTGAGAGGGACAAAATGGAAATTGCTTAGCACAACAACACGCAAACAAGTCACTGTGGGACCTCCAACAACAGAACACATACTTCATCCTCCCTCATAACAGAACTGTTGTGTTATGAGTCTTAGCTGAGGTCAGACTGACGAGGGTCAACGTCAAGAAACCAAGTCTGTGTTTGCACGGATTCAACCAGGGTTTTTTTTTTTCTTGTCGGGGGAAACCTTCTTTACAGTAAAACACTATGGGAAGGAAAATTAAGTGTAGGGAAGCTCTGACATACAAAGTGGCCTTAAAATGAAGAATGTATGAACCCACTGAAACCTGGAGCGACATCTCTTTTCTTGTGCTGCTTTCAGATGCAGATTGGTGTGATTTCTTGTCCTACAAATTGCCAAAAAAGCAACAACAAAAAAAAAAAACAACCAATATATTTAGAAAATTATTTTGGAAAAAAGAAAAAAGCTGGGAAAATTTAAATTATGTTACAGAATCATTTCCTTGTTTGTTTGTCTCCTTCAAACAGCTGAATTTATTCAAGTTTACTGCCAAAAACAACATAATATTTGAACGCATCATGAGAACGTTATAATTCACCTTCGCGTAATACTCATTTTTACTGTATTGACCTTGAACACATCACAATATAACTCGACACAACCTCCGTCAGCAGGTAGGTCTGGTCATCAGCTGATTAGAGCTAATGTTAACTAAGTCTCAATAGGGTGCGTCCCCTGGCACGACGATGGTGAGTTACTGTGTCCTTTCATCCTGAGGACGTCCCAGGGAAGATGTTTGTTCATCCCAAACACATTTTCTGTTGACTTCAGGACAACAGGATGCTGTTAGTGTGGAGCCCTGCTTTTTAGCCTGCGCAAACTAAATGTGATGCAACAGAAAAACACCAGGGAGTGTCATGTTAGTTGCCAATAGGCCGATAGCAGTCAACAAGGCAAATATCGGCCGATACTGTAGTGATGGGCAAAGCAGTTCTTTACATGTTACTGAATCACTAGAATCAGGTCATTAAAAAGATTTGTTCAAAAGATTCGTTCACTGAATCGTTCAGTGCTTGGCAGGAGGAGCCCTGACTGTGTACTGTGTAGTCCGACTCACTGAACTGATACACGTCTGAGCTGCTGCTGCGTCTGCCCTGCACTGGTGAGTCTCAAGATTAGCCAGCCTAATGTTTTAAGTTTGTTTATCTGGAAACTAAGTCTGTTAAAACAATGGGGAGGTGTGTGATTGTGTTCATGTGGCTTGACTCCTGGCTACATTAGCCGTTAGCTTGGAGAAAACGGTCCCTATGAAAGTGTATCGCTGAGTAGAAATTATTTGAATCACTCAGGGATAGGGGTTACATCGTTCACTGAGTGATTCGTTCACCGGGTGATTCGTCACGCGGTAGGCAGTCCCTCCTGCACCCTGGCTGCCTTGCGACTTGCGAGTGATTCATCGTTCACACGGACTGAATCGGCAGCTCCACTCCGGGCCCGCACGCTCGCTGCTGAGCTCAACTGAACTGAGAAATGAGCAAATCAGTTCTGGAAGTGATTCAGTTCAGTACATTCACTCAACAGATTCGTTCAAAAGAACGACACAACACTACGATACTGATGTTTGGCTGATAAATCGGTGCATCCCTATTTCAAGCTACAGCTAAGACAGCCCTTAACAAACTCTGACAGTGTTGGTTTACATCAAGAGACACACTCGACACAGAAGAGAAGGAACAGAGTAACTTTTAAAGAACGTAGTTCTGGAATGGTACAACATTATTTCACACGCTTTACAGTTTCTTTTGTGAGAAACAAAAGTTTCAAATTAGGATTAGAAACTCGATGAAGGACCCTGTGAGCATAGGACCCTGGGAACATTGGGGTGACCCTGTCTGTTTTTACCTGACCCCTGAGATAGTGAACGCTCAAACAGGGCAGTAAGTGGACCTTTAGAGGTGCTCTGTAGTGTTTTGTTGTAAACAAACAAGGTGTCTGTTTACAATCAGAGCTCATTTTGTGTATCCTGGAGGTCTCACAAACATGTTGAGTGCATTTCCTTCATCACAAAACACTTGCAAAGCTCATTTGGAAAACATTTGAAATCCTGTTGTGGTAACATCCATGTTTACTTGTGAGCAGTCTCTTTTTTCGTCGCCCTCATGCTCGTGTACGTTACAAACAAAACAGGGACCCACTTGTGAAAACATCGCTCTGTTGAGTCGTGGTCAGATACTCCACAGGTTGTCTTGAGGTTTGTTCTGCTTCGATTTCCAAGACATAGAAACTGAGTCCTTTGTCCTTTTTATCGCCTTTTTTTGGGGTCAGTGCTGGTTACTTGTTAAAATTATGCTTCTTTGTCCCAAAGATCCTGCAGCACAGTCTTCTGCTGAGACTTTTTGTGCCATCTCTGTGCTGCTGTCTTCTTATTTAGACAAAAGCACGCTTGATAGTTAAAATACATAGTGTGAACGTGCCAAAATACTCCAAAATGCTTTGGTATTCTTGGTTAAAAAAAAGTGTCCTCTGCAGGGACTCAGGGCTCCACAGATCCTCATCTTGGTCTCAGTGCTGTTAGTTGTTCTGCTCCTCTTCCTGCTGTAGATCTTCACCCTGCTGCTCCTCTTGGAGGGGACGGTAATATGGGTCCTCCGGCCGGTCGAACATTGCTCGCCTGTGAGGAGAGAACAAAAAAAATCTCTTGGCATTTCTTTAATAAGATAAAGACACTGATTTTCTTTTTACTTATTAACTGTATCTGGGTGCTGTAAGTACAACTGAACACCAACTTCATCATGTCTGTTCTGACTGAACCCTGCAACACCTCCAGAGACCTCTTTCACCAAATCTGCAGCACATTTTGCCCTTTTGTGTTCACTTTGATACGTTTCTCTGATCAGAAAAAATGCCACACTTATTTTGAGAATATAAACACAATTTTATATTATGCAAAGCCATATCAGATCTAAACCAGAAGTGTTTTATGTTGTCTTACCACAACCAACCAATAATAATGCCAAAAAAACTTGCATACAATTTTGTTTAAATCTGAAAATGTCTGAAACACACTTCCTAGTTGAAGAGATTAACCTAAACTAAATATCCAAAGCATCTGATGCCATAATAGTACATCACAGTTTTTAATTCTCAGTGGTTCAGATCATAGATTGTATAAAGTAATAGTCGTAGCCACTGTGATGTCACCCATTGGTTTGTGGACTCCTGACTGATCCTATTACAAACAACAAATATATGTTAGAATCTACAATCTATGCAGTTATAACTTTAAAGTTAAACTACACACATTGCAAACAGCAGATCTCTCGGGGTTGATCTCTGTCTCTGACAAATTGGGTGAGTGGTGTTTGTTTTGTCTCCAAGGTAACGGATATAAAAGCAAGATGGCCAAAGTTCAGGGTATGAAGTTCAGGGTAAAAGTATGAGACAGTCGAGCGTCCTGACTGTGTGCATGCTGCTTGCAACAGTATGTACTTTTTAAAGGCAGCTGCAGCACCGACTAGGAGTAAAAAGAAAAAGTATACCATTCAGACCGCACCTCATATTTGGTTGAGAGGGTTGCGCTAACCCTAACACTAGCTGCTAGCTTGGTTAGCAAGGTGCATTTACAGCTATGGTTACCTGTAAAACGTTAATGCTAATCTTCCCAAATGAAAAATAAGCTTAAAACCATTGAAACAAAATGTCATTGTCAACAAAATCTCATTCATGCTACTCTGAGAACTGGGGTTACGCAAGTAACCTAATTTTTTTTTCTGCTCCAAAATCAGGCATTGCAACATGGAGGTCTTTGGGGATTGACTCTGTTTTGGAGCCAGCCTCAAGTGGACATTAGAGGATCTGCAGTTTTTGTCACTTCCATGTTAGCTTCATTTTTCAGCCCCTGAGGCTGCTGCTTGGTTCAGACCGAGGTTCAGTATTTCTGCCAGTCATCTCGTTCCAAATGTATCAAAGTTAAAAACACAGTACGATAAATTCTGGTTCTTACAGAAGTTCTGGCGTCATCAGCAGCTTCCTTCCTCCCGGCTGGTTTGGAAACACGTCCTCCAGGAAGTAGTACATGTGACCCACACTGATGCCTGAGGGAAAACACATCAGTGAGCCACACTGTTGCTTTTCTAACAAACTTTGAGTTGTTCTCAGGATCCATTTTGAAGTGCTAAGAGTCTATTAATACAACTTTGGCCTCCTGCAATTTGATGATTTAAGGAGTTTATGTTGCAGGTTTCATGTCTTTTGTTTCTTAAAGGAATTAAGTATTCATGAAGTGAAACTGCAGCTGTAACTGAACTCACAGTGAATTCACCTACGCTCTCTTCAAACACACTACCAGTTGAGGCAGTGGCTCAGGTGTTCAGCGAGGTAAAATTACTGTTTTTGTCAATGGAGTCTGGCTTTGAGGACTGGATAGATATTTTACTTTCAGCTCAGTTCCAGTCAGAGAGGGTTGTCTGTTTGGGAAGTTCTGAGCATATGACTGGATAAATGAGACTTGGATTAAACTATTATATATAGTTGTGTGAGAGTTTGTAAACAGATGTTTTGACATAGATTTACTATGACTTCGGTTCATCAATAATTTTCTCCATCCATGAATTCAGCGTAACACAGGGTGAGTAACTGATAAACAACTGATCATTTGGGGGGTCGAGTGTTCCTTTCGTTTCACTGTGCAGCCTTCCTGAACTCTACTTACAGGCTACATCAGATATGTGGTGTTTGGTGAATTGTTCTCATACCTAGGAGGTCGACCATGATGGAGTTTCCAAGCAGCAGCGAGAATCCCATGAGCACCCAGGGCAGGAACGGAGCCTGAAAGTTCAGGAGGCCGAAGAAGTTCATGCGTACGAGCGGATGTCTTCTACTCCACACGTACACCAGCATGATGATGAAGGCCTGACCCAGGAAGAAGATGTTGGCGAACAGACCGAACAGCTGCAGGTTTCAGGTTAAATACAACTCATCACTTGGTCTGTTATTATGAAATCAACATGTGATAGCTTCTGTTATAGAGAGATTAAAGTTTTAGTTTAACAGACGTTTCTCAAAGAAAATAACCTCACTGCTGAGTCACACCTGAGCTGGTGCAGCGGCAGCTAGCTAGAACATTATAGAAGAAACTGGTCAGAATAAACTGGCAAATAAAATATTTGTGTGTATATATGGAAGCCCATTTCTGCCAGGAAAAGGGTAAAAAAATGAAATGGCAAGTAAAAAAAAAAAGACTTATTTTCTCAATATTTCGACCTACTAAATTTATATCATGAGACGATTAGTACAAAGGTTAACTTATTAAAATTAAGACATTATTTCATTGTTTTACTCATTAAACGTGATAAGAGGATGAAGTACAGAGAAATTAAGAGTAAAACAAAATAATATTAATAACTTAAGTGAAAAAAGTACAAAATATTTAGGAATAAATAATAATAAAAAATACAATTAATGAAATTAATAAATAAAAATTAAATTAATAAAAATGTTACCATAGTTTTTATCTTGTTTTCCTCATTAAAAGGTGATAAGAAGATAAAATACAGAGAAAATAAGGTTAAAATAAAATAATAATAATAATAATAATAATAGCAACTAAATTAGAATAAAGTACAAAATGATAAAAACTACAGAAAAAAATAAACTAATACTTTTTATCAGTAGATTAAAAATGCTGACTTAAAGCTGGACTTCAGTATTGACTTATTATGGTTTATTTAGTCAGAACAGTTAAAAATGTTAAATCAAAATTTGAGTTATTAAGGCAAAATTAAGACATTTTAAGTCAAACATTCAATATATTTTTTGTAGTGCTGTCAAAATAATGTGTTAATTTTTATTAGAAAAAAATAACACGTTAGCAAAATTAACACTGATGAATCACATTCGGTGGTGCCCTTTGACCTGGTACATCATTTAAGGCCACAGTGGCTTTGTCAAATGATGGAGGCAGATAAGACGACTGCTCGGCCCTGTTGATAGGAGCATCGCTCTCTGCAATTTCTGCAGCAAGGAATTATCGTACCATCGGAGAACTTCAAGCCTGAACTATCACCTCAACACAAAGCATTTAGCAGTGAACCCAAAGGTCCCAGCTAGCACTGTCTCTGATGCTAATGCTAGCTACATCAAGCCACACTTGACCAGACGTTCAGACGCAAATTGAGTCAGTTTAAGTTTGCTTGACAGCCCTAATTTTTGACTTACTATTATAATTCTTAGTAGAAAGCTCTTTTGGCATGTGTATATTTTGAATTCACACCTTACTGTTAATTTGTTTTTGGTTTGTTTTGCACCATTTAGACAATCTTTATTGTTTATATTTTGTTTTTATTTGCACTCTTTTTCACGTTGTACTGCAACCACTGCACAACTTTTTTCCCCCTCTGGTTAAACTAAGTTTTGTCTTATTTTGAATTTCACATATCTCATAATTATGACTCATAATGTTGACACTTTTAATTTAAGATTTCGTAGTTCTGACTGGCCGATTTTATCATTTACAAATTTTAATCATTCTTTTTCAGGCAGAAATGGGCTTTCATACATGTGCTGCATTTTGTTGATTTCTGCCTCCATACATGTGACATAACAAACCACCGATATGTGAAGTACTGGGCATTAATCACTCAGTACTTGATGACATGCAGTTCTCATAAATGTGAGTATTTTGTTAGACTAAAGACCCAAAACTTAAACATTTTTACAAGTTTTTTTTCCTCTAGATTCAGCAGACATTTTGTCAGACCTTATTGTTTACAGGATGCTCAGCCCCTCACAATAAAAGCCAACTTGTGCATGTTCCTGTCCTGATAACACACTGTACTCTCCTGATATTACAGCCGTATTAGACCTGCGTGTAAAACTGTCCATGAAACATCACACGGCTCCAGACAAACCTCATAAACCTGCACATTGACCGTTTCACAGCAGCCCAGAGGGACGTCTGTGGAGAGCAGACCCAGGACTGTATCATTAACCTGGAATGTGAACAAGAGCTTCTGGCAACAAGCTGCTGAGCATCACCACAAAGAGACAGGCTGCATGTACAGTAGCTGGTTTTACATGTTGTCAGCCTGAAGGCGTCCTAATTTAAGCATCTAATTTAAAAAGTGCTCCTCAGGAGAAAAGCACCCTACTAATGAGATGTTTATCGGCCTGCCTTTCACCGGACCGACTGACAGCTCGGACTAATCATGTTTCCCCCTTAAAGGGTCAGTTCACCCACATTTAAAAAGCATTTTTTAGTGCGCACTCTGGACACTCTGTCTGTGGAGACGGAGCAGCAGAGCACTGAGCGGAGTGAATGTGTGATTAACTTAACCGTTGGTTCATTCATGTAGAAATATAACGCTGCGTTTCTTCCACCAACAGGGCTCTCATTTTAGTGTAGAGCTTCAGACTGAATTTACCAACGCACCATGTCAGGTCACTCACTCTCCGGGACCGCCAGTGTTACTTGAATAAGTAAACACTGACCAACGGGACCAGACTGGCCGACCCGTATGCTCTCACTCAGTGGATGGATGATGTCACAGGAAGCCAATCTTACAAAGGAGGACCACACTTGTTTGTTTTGCTGTGAAAGCTAATGTTAGCTAATGTGCTAAAAAAGTTAGCGTTCCAGAGAAATCCAGTCTTCCTCTTAATCCCTCCCCAGTTTTTGATGAGGTGGACATGATAACCCTTAATACACATAACTTTATTCATCCCTACAACAGGAAATACTTTTTCCCTAACCTGATATGAAGTGTGCGCTGCACATGTGAGCATTTTTGATGATGGCTTCCGTCCAGTCCTTTGGTCTTATCACATTTAACCATCTTTGTTTTTGTTGACGGGCAGTGGCGGCTGGTTTTGAGCCATGACTCCTTCTATTCTGGCTCCCAATAACACAACAAGACAAACACATTTTAAGACTCTATGTAGCCTACAGCCCTGTGGGGGAGAGGCAGGTTTTGCCTCCAGCTAACAAACTGACATCATCGTAACGTCGGCCCTCAAAGGGTCTATTGGTTCCATTTTTAGTATGGCTCCTGCGTACTGTTTTATAAATGAGACCCCAGGTGATTAAAACTGGTAAAAACACTGATTAAAACAGTTTATGTTACAAATCAGTGTTTCTGTGAGGTGTGCTCACGCTTTTTCCCTGATCCAAACGTTCAGGACGTTTAATCAGGAGAGGTCTTTTCCCCTCACAACATCGTCATCTCAGAATAAGAATTATATTCAGATCATGGATGTATAAAGAGAACTGGATACAGCATCAGAGGGGGGGCTCTTTTCATTTCTACAAAATTTGCTCAGTGGCGCACGAAGCCAAAAAAGTTCAACTGCTGCATATAAAATGACCCAGATCCTCCGCATCATTGAGCTCAAAGAGCAGTTGCACAAGAAACTTCACTAGCTGAGCGGCTAACTTCCAATTTAGCCTTCTGCTAACTTGAACTGACATAAAAATAGTCCCTCCAGGATTTCGCCAGGTGTCTTGCCAATATCACAGTAACTTTGCTCCTCAGTGCCCGATCTACATTCAGAGCGGGTCCTCCTCCACAGAGTCCGCCATGTTGTTTCTACAGTAGCCCAGACGGACAAACCAAACACTTCCTCTAAATTAGTGTATTCGCATTTTTGCGTCGGCCACGCTTGGCACACCGGAGAATTTCTAGTTGGTCGCCACTGACTCGCTAAACGTGTGAAAGGATACAGTCATCACGATTCCTCCAAACAGGAACATGACAACAAAATCCGCCGTCCTTCCTCGGAAACATCCTTCCTCCAGCATCCGACAGTATCGATAACTTCTCTTAGTCAAGGACTCTGCTGCATAAATGTATTATTAGACTCTATAGGAGTGTTTTGATAAATAATCTGAGACATTACGTCTTTGTTAAAAGATACAGAAAGATGATGTTGAACAGGAAACTGAATCCAAGAGAACCAAAGAAGAGGAAGCTGGTTATCAGGCGCCATATCTGAGATACAAGGAGAATACAGGGTGTTAATATCATCACATACCACATTGACCTGTTTTAAATGTATTAAATGGTTAATAAATGTTACCTGATATCTTCTGACGATGAGGTCTGGGTTAAAGTAGAGCTGGAAGGGTGTGATGACCTCAAGTTGCTTAAAAAAATAACAGAGCTTAAGATAAATCAGCAAGTTGGGTATCAAGACATTAATGGATTATTTACAAAATATTTGAAGTAAGAATATAAAACAAACAAACAGTAAAATAGGCAATGAAACAGCAAAGTTTATAAAAGCAGCGCTAAAAGAAGAAAGAAAAAACTAAATTATATTTACAAAGGAAGGTGCACAAATACATACATAAAAATATGTGCAATAAAGTTAAAACTTAATTAGTTTTATAACATTCTTACAATTCGAAGTACTTTTTTATACAAACACCCAAACATCTCAGAGAGTTTTATAACATTTTACAACAGTTTAACATGTTTGTATTGATTAAAAAGCTCCAAACACTCAACCAGTCAAGACACTGAATCTATTTCAAATGTTTTCATCTGCAAGTTTTTGGTCAATTTTGCCTTGTCTACTTGGAAGGCACATTTATTTATATCTAAAAAAGTAAAAACTGGCTCAGTGTCACATCAAATAAAAATGATCAGAAATCATCATAATTCAGCTCATGAGGACAGGTTTGATAATTAAGACAAAAAAGTAAAAAATGAATGAAATAAATGATTGTTTTCTGGAGATCAGAGTTTAAACTCTTGTTGTTGTTTGTTGTTGTTGTTGTTTCTTACCACGGCAGCGGTGGTGAGGACGCAGGCGGTGGTGTAGGCTCGGGTCACCACTGGGATCTGAAAATACTCCTGAGTGAAGCTGTGAGCCATCCCTGCTGCTGCTGCTGCCTCACTGTCAGCCATCATTTACTCACTGAATGAACAGCAAAGGCCCCGCCCCCTCTCACTGCAGCAGCCAATCAGAGTCAACCATCAATTAACACCATCCACACCACACACTGTAAGCTCTTAACACATTATAGTCACCTTGAAGGCAACAAGTTATAACACAGAGGCAGAAATGTGATCTATAAGTTACTTTCTTTTTTCTGACATCTCCACATTTAATTCCAATGTTATATCCTATTTTTACTTTTATTTATTTTATTTTTATTTTTATTTTTATTTTTACAGTCCATGGTAATATCCTTTTTTTATTATTATTATTTTTATACAAACATTTTAATTTTCCCTTGGGGGGAAAAGTCCGTAAATTCAGTAAAATTTAGTGTGTTAAATGAGTTGTATTTAAAAATTAAAATTAAAATTAAATTAATAAAATAAAACAAAATGAAATTAAAAAAGTTACATAACTGACATTTCAATTACATGAATAATGAGATGTGCTGTGTTAATAAT